GTCACATTTACTCTCTCGATTAATCTAAATGTTACAGAGAATGACTTCTATTTCATCAGGGATGTGCAAATGTTTTAAAAAGAAACAAAACTTTTGGACAATTTTAATCTAATTATATGATTTATTATTACATTGAATTATTCTAATTTTGTGATATATAGTGTGTATGGGATAATGTATGTATGTATGTATGTATGTATGTATGTATGTATGTATGTATGTATGTAAAGTGCTTGAAAATCATACAATGAGTTGACTCAAGCCTATATGAAAAAATTATATTGTGTATATATATATATATATATATATATATATATATATATATATATATATATATATATATATATTGGGGGAAAAATGTATGACAAAGTAGAAAAATTTTCTTGTGATGCTTTAGGACTTCATCAGACTATGATTTTGAACTCTGCTTTCAAATTTTCCAAGCTACTAACCACCCAGACACGCATATGTGTGTCTATTTCATATCGGTGTGTGACTGAGGGGTTAGTACATTCATATTCTGACCATAAAACCCAGGCTCAAATCTCACCATGGTCAATTTGTCAGGCAGGTGACTTCTTGATGTTATCATCCTAAAAAGATGATCTGAGCATGCACTACTGTTGGAAAGTATTTTTTTTTGTTTTTTTTTTTTAATCATTAAAAGGCGATAGAGTAACTTAAGATGCAAGGGGTTATTGAGTGTGTAAGAATATATAAATATATATATGTTATTAATGAGAGAGTAGACAATAAAAGAACAAAAGTTAAGAAGAATGAAGATAACGATTGACATTGCATTGAAAATTTTCAAGACCAAAATTAACTGGAAAGTAAGAGGCCAGTAAAAAGCTCCACACATAAGAAGTGCAAGAGAAGTAACTGTTAGCATAAAACTTATGGTTACATCTAGTCGTTTTAATTTTAAAATGATGAGACCTAGCTGCCAATCTAGTACTGTACTTAAATTTGTAAAGTTGAGTTACTAAAGAGGAAAGCTCATCAAAGCAATTACCATGAAAATATTTATATACCTGAAAAGCATATCATAGGTTGGTCGTGGTTTTGAGTAGGTACCTCCACAGATTCATGATACCAAACCTTGTTAGTTGTTGGATATCCCCAATGAAGTCAAATAGACCTGCCTGAGAGTTACTTAAAGCAAAACAACTATAACACAGTCCTAGTTAATGAGTAATATCCTTGCTTATACTAACATGAAATAAAGTGTTTTGCAGTATTGAACTCCGGTTCGGTCTTCTTATTACTAACACGTCAACTATTATAACATTAGTGAAATTGGGTAGACAGAACTATTCTGAAGTCATTGATTGTTGTACTAGCACAAAGTCAAAAGTCATCATGACCGATGGTTTGAGTGTACTGTCTTTGTTCAGACATATGGATCATGCCAGATTATGCCCTCTCTCCCAGAAACTGTAACTAAGGTCTGCTCAGCATCTTAGTTTTGTGGAAACACAAATTTGCAACAGGAATTAACTACGTACCATAGCAGATGGCTGTGCTGAAAAAACAAGTGGTCAGCAGTTATGGACATTTCACTTTATTTTCAGTCTTTTAACTCAATTACATTGTAGACAAAAATGTTCTCCAATTTCCTACGAAAATTATTCTACTGTTTTAAGCAATAGACTCCTGTCACCATGACAACGATACTTGTGCCATCAAATTGAGCATGTTATTGTCTTTTCGTTACAAGGTGACCTTGATAATTGTTTTCAACAATGAATGCAAGTATTCATTTGAATGTTACGTAAAACGTGTTTAGGAATATAGTATTCACTTTACAGTTCTGGTGACACCATTTTGAGTTTTTTTTATACACTAATTGGTTACGTTTTCCTCTAAAATTTATTATTGCATTTCTGTATCATTGCAAGTATCTAAAAGCTATTCAAGTTTTGCAGTAGTAGTATTAGTAGTAGTAAAGTATTTCTTAGTTTATCTAGAAACGTTGGGACAGGGGTTGAAAATGTATTTGGATGATCCAGAATTCCGGATAATTGAATATGTAAATTATAATAAAAGAATGATTGATTGGGATTTCTTTTTATGACTTATCAACGTTTTGAAGCTAGAAAATTGTTTTAAATTGTAAGAATTTTTCGGAGATAATAATGATTTACTGGTACAAATTTTACTAATTAACCCATAGCTGGGGGGAAGAAGAGGTGGTTTCATACATACGTGATTATAACAAACCTGACTGGAATTGGAACTCGGCTCTCCACTGTTCAACTTGAGCAGAAAACATTTTATAAAAAAACAACCTATCCATCTCTGAACGTCCAACTTTAATTTTTATTATTTTTTAAATTATTATTATTATACTAGTAATAATAGTAATAATTCTATTCTCTAATATAAAACAATTTAAATTTACATATTTATCAGTCACACAGCCTGATTCCCTCCTGTTTTAGTAATGAGATATTCCGTTCTTATTGTAACAAGAGCCATTCTCTCTAGCACTAATCCCCGTCTCTTCTCCCCACTCCCAGCTTTGGGATAAATTGCAGTGTTGAGTGGACTCTGTAGTCTTGGTTGGCAACCAGGCTATGAGAAGAATTCAAAACCCTGGAGAAAGTGGAGTGGTTTCACATCCCTATCTCTCCTAAGCCACTATAGCAATTCAAAGATAATATTTATTAGTCACGTAGCATTATTTCCCCGTCCATACTCTTGGGAAAGGTATGAATCCACCTTTTTTCTCGGTATGGATTAATTAGGATATATCAGAAAATCATTATCGTCTCCAAAAATTTCTTTCAATCTAAAGAATTTTTTGGCGATGATTATGATTCATACCTTTCCTAAACGTATTTGCGTGTAAGTAGAATTGGAACTCAGCTCTCCGATTTCCAATTCAGAGTCATTATTCATTACACCACCTGCAAATCTAGCACCTGGTATTACCAAACGGTCATCCGTCTTGGTACTGCTTAACTTCGGTGATCGAATGAGAACCGGTGTTTCAACGTGATACGGCCGTAAACTCATAAAAATATGAAGAAAAAAAAAAGCCATTTTCTAAAAGAAATTCAACTTCTATTTCATCAAATAATATTTTCAAACCTAAATCTAGGGCCCACCACCCGGAGTCGGGGGGTGGGGTGGGGGATTGAATAAAAGTTTCAGTTAAAAAGAGTGAGTTAACAAAAATGATAGACAGCAGAAGATAACAATGGCTGCAATGTAGTTACTATAACAACAACAACCAAGATGAAGACACTATCCTGAATCGATGAACTTAATCTACAATTTTGTTCAGTAGGGAATTTCTTCCTTTATTATTTATCTCTCAAATGTTTATTTTTAGCAACAACAATAATAAAAAAAAAAAAATGTTCTCATATATTTAATGATAATTTTATTAGTTTTATTCTTTCCTTATTTATTGATTCGTTTCTATTATTGTGATTAAAGTGATGAGTCAATAATGGTACATTTGATAACAAATTGTTCACTCCGACATCCAGTGTAAAATATATAAGGTCGTTCCTTGTCGTGATAGAGGGCTTACTTGTCACTGATCTCAAGCTGTTTGGAGTTCCAACTCATAGAAGAAGAGGGAGGACCATACTAAATGTGACCAATCCGCAAAGACACCCCACCCGCCAACGGCGGAATAGTCAAAGATCTATACCAGTGGATCTCAACCTTTTTTTACCCATGGACCCCTTTCCCCTTCTTTTTATCTTGGTGGACCCCTTCATAGCTATTGGACATAAGAACAATTTTCTATTCTTCACTAATATAAATTTTAAGGTTTTAATTATCAAAGAAATAGTATACGATTAAGCTTTATTTTTAAATGAAAACTAATTTAATACAAATAAAATATTCTACTATAATTATAATAATAATTATTATTACTATTTTTAATTAACACAACAATTGAGTTTTGCCTGTGGACCCCCGGAAATATTAGTAGTGGAAATATGACCCCGGTTGAGAACCACTGATCTATACGATCGCAATGGCCAAACCGTCGGAAGAGGGCAGCGCCTGTCGGATTTTGATAGACCAAGCACGAGGCAGCCTGATTCAACCAGGTTTGCCAGATCTTACTTGCCTCAATCTCCTGTGGGTCGCGAGTCATGCAGAGTTGTCCACCAAAAGGAAATTCACACAAATGACCTCATCAAACTCTCTTTGATGCTCGAATGTGAGCCGGTGTCTACAAATGTTTAATAATAATTTTACATTGTAGAAATTTTGAAAAAAACACGTCCAACAGGCTTCAAACTTTTCAGCAAATTTTATTTAATTTTTATTTTCATTTTATTGACTATCACGGTCCAGTAAGAATTTTGAACTGTATCTGGACTTGAGAAAAAAGTGATCATGGCTTCTGAAGTAAATATAATCAGCAGTGATAGAAGTATAGTTAAAAACAAAAGAGGTTTTTCAAATTCAAAGAGGTTTACAGATAATAGCCACCATACTTCTTTTCATGGTTTCTTTTAACGAGTAAAAAAAAAAATGTTTTAGAAGATAATTTTATCTGTTAAAAAAGATTACCAGATTTTGTACTGTGACCAGATCGAGACATTGATAAAATGCCAGTTACGCCCCAAGAAAAAGTTTAAATTTGTTTCATCAAATATAATCTACTTTCAATTAAAATTAATGAACACCTGGTTGTTTATGTAACCTATATATCGTAAGAATTATTAAGCATTAAAATTTAATTTGCTTTTATTACATAAAATAAATGACACAGCATACGCTATATGATTATATAAGTATACATTGGAAGACAATTTGTTATGGAAAAATCATTTTAAGTCATTTTTGGCAAGAAAGAATAAGATCGTTTTTGCAGTCAAGTAAGTGTTGAATGTCCTTCTCTTTTGCTGTCGAGAAAGTGTTGAATGTCCTTTACTTTTGCTGTCGAGAAAGTGTTGAATGTCCTTTAATTTTGCTGTCGAGAAAGTGTTGAATGTCCTTCTCTTTTGCTGTCGAGAAAGTGTTGAATGTTCTTTACTTTTGCTGTCGAGAAACTGTTGAATGTTCTTTACTTTTGCTGTCGAGAAACTGTTGAATGTTCTCTTTTGTTGTGAACAAAGCATCGGTAATTATAATACTGCTTTTACTAATGTAACTTTTGATATCATCAGTAAAATTAAAGAAAATTGTGAAAACTGTTTCACTCTAATGATTACATAGTGACACAACACATTTTGGTAATATCTGAGAAGTGGGAAAATAAAACACCTATAGCTTTTGACTTACTTTTTTTTCTTTTAATTCACAACCCTACCACTCTCTAGCTACCCCGATGCCCGACCCTTCCACTTAGTTTGAGTAATTTTCTGCACTAAAAAGAAAATCTTTATTGTAGCAGAAGAAATTATTAAGTGGAGAATTTTGCAATTATGACCTAAAATGTATATTAGTCTCTAACACTTAATAAGTATTCTGTGCATTGAAAATCAATTTATAAATTGTTAGTGGTCATAAATTGATACAAAGAACACTGACAAAATAGGGCTATGTCAAGATATAATGGAGTTTCCCGTAAGGTTTAGATTTATTTTCAACATATTTTTATTTTTTGATTAAGTGAATACATAATATAATATTTAGTAATAATAAAAAAAACTATAGTTCGAAGCCTAATATACATCTACCGGCCACTGATATATAAAAAGAGAAAGTCTGCGCATGAATAGACGAAATGGTCATCCAACTATGACTAGATAAAGTTACTTGAAATAAAGTAGAGGTCAATGATAAATTTCAATAGCATTGGAGTTGAACAAGTCAGACTTGGTAAATTTTGTAAATGTAATCTGGATTACTTTGTATTTCTTGTCACCCCTATTTGTACTTCGTCTCCGTAAGACTCTCATTTTCTTTTTCTCTTTCTCTGGGAGTACCTCAATTTCTCTCTAGCCTCTTATCGCTCTTCGTTTCCGTGAGCTTTTCTTTCTCTAACCTCTGGTCGACCTTCTCCATGAATTTCTCTCTCTCTCTCTCTCTGTCATCTGGTCGCCTTTTGTCTCCGTGAGCCTCTCACTCTCTCTCTCTCTCTCTCTGGCATCTGGTCCCCTTTTGTCTCCGTGCCTTCTCCTGGCATGTGGTCACTCTTCCGTGAGCTCCGCTCTCTCTCCGGCATTTGGTCGTTTTTCGTCTCCGTGAGCCTCTCTCTCTCTCTCTCTCTCTCTGGCATCTCGTCCACATGAGCCTCTATCTCTCTGGCATCTGCTTGCCTTTTCTCTCTATGTCTTTCTCTTTCTGACATCTGGTCGCCTTTGGTCTCCGCGAGCCTCTATTTATCTGTCTCTGACCCCCGGTCGCATCTCTCTGTAATTTTTTGCCCTCGTGAGCATTTCTCTATCACCCTTCGCCCCTGTGAGCGTCTCTCTTTGGCCTCCAGGAGACTCTCTCTGTCGTTCATCATCCCTGTGAGCATCTCTTTATCTGTCGCCCATAGTCTTCATTAGCCTCTCTCTGTGGCCTTTCACCTCCATGGGTGACCCGCTGTCGCCTATCATCCCCGTGAGCGTCTCTCTGTCGCCCTTCGTTCCTCTTTGTTCTCCCGTCCGTTTTCTCTCTCTGTCTCTTTTGTTCCTCTGCTGGAAATGAAACGTGTTTCAATAGTTTGTAAGGTTTTGTTGTTTTTAAGCATCTATAGTCTCCCTTAGAAATAGATTTACTTCTTCAGTTGTTACCGTGTACAATGACAATGAGCTTTAGAGTTACTCAAGAGATGAACTTGCAAAACATTTATTGAATACATCTGATTGCGTACCTGGTTGTGGGTAATGTATAAGCGGAAAAGAAAGCGGCTATCAACAAAGCGAGGTGGATTTAGTCGACCATTTCATGTTTGTTAACGTTTTCTATGTGCCGTGTTCGTTCAGGATGTGGGTGATCATGGCTCCCCACAATTTCCTGCCCTTTGTAGCTCTAAGTAAATATTATCTTTTTGCTGTCTCTCCTAATCCCTGTTCTGCCAAACGTTTACACAAGGCGACGCACCGCTTTTCCTCTGTCCTATGCCTTAAATATGTCCTATGAGTGTCCAAGCCCTCTTTCCTCATTATGTACCCTTGAAATGTCAACTGTCTCTTCCTGATTCACAACGTTTCGGCCGTTGTGCGCTCAGTGGATAATGAGTTATGAGTTCAATACCAGGCCACAACAGTAGTGAACCAAAAAAAAAAAAAACTTGGAGAGTTAAAGGGAAATAACTGACATTTGGAAGAGGCGTGGCATGTGGAACTAGAACAATCTACCCCCCAGTGGAAGAAATAAAAGATTCAGTTCAAAATTCCAATCACCTAAAGAAGGCCGGAGCACGGCTGAAACGTTCTGAATATGGCAATGAAGATGAGAATAACAGTCCAAATAATGTAAACAATTATCGCTGTTTGACGTTATTTTCATGCTGCATGTTTTAAAAGTACCCGATGACAATAGCGGTTACTGTGTGTGTGTGTGTTATGGTATATACAGGATGTGTGGGTAGTGTAATGGTTTTGCGGCTCGAGAAATCGGCAAGTTGATATTCCAGTTGAGTTTGTTACATTGTCTTTCGCACAAATACCCTTGGGAAAGGGATGAAACCATCTCTTTCTTCCCAGCTATGGATTCCTGGCTCTTCTCTCTCTCTCCCCCTTCCTTCCTAACTCTCTCTCTCTCTCTCTCCCTTCCTTCCTAACTCTTCTCTCTCTCCCTTCCTTCCTAACTCTTCTCTTTCTCCCTTCCTTCCTAACTCTTCTCTTTCTCCTTCCTTCCTAACTCTTCTCTCTCTCCCTTCCTTCCTAACTCTTCTCTCTCTCTCTTTCTTCCTTCCTTCCTTCCTTCCGAAATCTTCTCTCTCATCCTTCTTCACTTCTCTCTCTCATCCTTTTTCACTCTTCTCTCTCTCATCCTTTTTCACTCTTCTCTCTCTCATCCTTTTTCACTCTTCTCTCTCTCATCCTTTTTCACTCTTCTCTCTCTCATCCTTTTTCACTCTTCTCTCTCTCATCCTTTTTCACTCTTCTCTCTCTCATCCTTCTTCACTCTTCTCTCTCTCATCCTTCTTCACTCTTCTCTCTCTCTCATCCTTTTTCCTCTCTCTCTCATCCTTTTTCATTCTTCTCTCTCTCTCTCATCCTAACTCTTCTCTCGCTCGTCGTTCTCTTCTCTTGTATCATCCTTCTTCTTCTTCTCTCTCTCTCGTATTCTTCTCTTTCTTTCTCTATCTCTTGTATTCTTCTCTTTCTTTCTCCCTCTCTTCTCTTTCTTTCTCCCTCTCTTCTCTTTCTTTCTCCCTCTCTTCTCTTTCTTTCTCCCTCTCTTCTCTTTCTTTCTCCCTCTCTTCTCTTTCTTTCTCCCTCTCTCGTATTCTTCTCCTTCTCTCTCTCTCGTATTCTTCTCCTTCTCTCTCTCTCTCGTATTCTTCTCCTTCTCTCTCTCTCTCTCGTATTCTTCTCCTTCTCTCTCTCTCTCTCGTATTCTTCTCCTTCTCTCTCTCTCTCGTATTCTTCTCCTTCTCTCTCTCTCTCGTATTCTTCTCCCCTCTCTCTCTCTCTCTTCTTTCTTCTCCTTCTCTCTCTCTCTCTTCTTCTTTTTCCTCTCTCTCTCTCGTATTCTTCTCCTTCTCTCTCTCTCTCTCTCTTCTTCTCCTTCTCTCTCTCTCTCTCATTTCTTCTTCTTCTCTTTCTCTCTCTCTCTCTCTCCATCTTCTCCTTCTCTCTCTCTCTCTCTCTCGTATTCTTCTCCTTCTCTCTCTCTCTCTCGTATTCTTCTCCTTCTCTTTCTCTCTCGTATTCTTCTCCTTCTCTTTCTCTCTCGTATTCTTCTCCTTTCTCTTTCTCTCTCGTTCTTCTTCTCCTTCTCTTTCTCTCTCATTTCTTCTCCTTCTCTTTCTCTCTCATTCTTCTTCCTTCTCTTTCTCTCTCTATTCTTCTCTTTCTCTCTCTCTCGTATTCTTCTCTTTCTCTCTCTCTCTCTCTTATTCTTCTCTTTCTCTCTCTCTCTCTCGTATTCTTCTCTTTCTCTCTCTCTCTCTCGTATTCTTCTCTTTCTCTCTCTCTCTCTCGTATTCTTCTCTTTCTCTCTCTCTCTCTCTCTTTCTCCTCTCTCTCTCTCTCGTATTCTCCTCTCTCTCTCTCTCTCTCTCTCTCTCTCGTATTCTCCTCTTTCTCTCTCTCTCGTATTCTTCTCTTTCTCTCTCTCTCGTATTCTTCTCCTTCTCTTTCTCTCTCGTATTCTTCTCCTTCTATTTCTCTCTCGTATTCTTCTCCCTCTCTTTCTCTCTCGTATTCTTCTCCTTCTCTTTCTCTCTCGTATTCTTCTCCTTCTCTTTCTCTCTCGTATTCTTCTCCTTCTCTTTCTCTCTCGTATTCTTCTCCTTCTCTTTCTCTCTCGTATTATTCTCCTTCTCTTTCTCTCATATTCTTCTCTCTCTCGTATTTCTCTCTCTCATGCTTTCTCTCTCTCTCTCGTATTCTTCTTCTCTTTCTCTCTCTCTCTCGTATTCTTCTTCTCTTTCTCTCTCTCTCTCGTATTCTTCTTCTCTCTCTCTCTCTCTCTCGTATTCTTCTTCTCTTTCTCTCTCTCTCTCGTATTCTTCTTCTCTTTCTCTTTCTCTCTCTCTCTCTCTCGTATTCTTCTTCTCTTTCTCTCGTATTATTATTCTTCTGTTTATCTATCTCTCTCTCTCTCTCTCTCTCCCTCCCCATAGAAGGCAAGATATACACGAGAATGTTGTTTGAAGGTTAGTGGGGCAGGTAACTATATAGGAAAAAAGAAAAGATAGTTGCGTTTGTAAATGTCGTCATAATATATAATTACCTTTTTTTTTCTGATTCACCCCGGCCACCTTTCACTTTTCTCTGTGAGTTTTCACCAACCGAATTTAAATATTTCTCTTGCTTCTCACTGTGCTGAACTTATTCAAGTCATTTGCTGTAATCAGAAATAGCAATTCTGAAGGTAAATCTGTACTCCGTGGCAAATGGTGTGGGATGGAGGTGGGGGTATTGTAGAAGGAAAAAATCCTCCTCCTTATGATATAGCTAGAGTCTATATACCCACCTGTCCAGATTAGTTTCTTACGGGTTCTATTTTCAGTATATCTCCACGTGTAAAAGATACGCATACAAACGTCATACTTACATAAACAGTCAATGCTGCAAACCTGAAACTTGTGTTTGATGTTATTTATTCAATTCCTCCGCAAAGCTCTTAGCCGGCCTTGTGCCTCACTAAAGATAAACACAACACACAACTTTCATATATTTATGCTATCTTCTTTCTTTCTATTTTTCCTTCCTCAACTGAACAATATGGCAACTGTGATAGAAGTTGAAATGAGCAAGAAGACACAAGTCGACAATTGTGTGGCATTGAGTAAAGGATCCAATTCACTGGCAATTACTCGGAAGGCTTACTTACATAATATACACTAGAGAGATGTTTGAGAGAAAGAAAGAACGTGTGTGTGGTTGAGAGTGTGAGTTCGTGTATGTGTGTGTTTTTGAGAGTGTAAGTCCGTGTGTGTATATGTATTTGGGAGTGAGTTCGTGTGAGTGTGTTTTTTCAAAGCGAGTTCGTGTATGCGTGTGTGTTTTTCAGAGTGTGAGCTTGTGTGTGTCTGTGTTTCTGTGAGTGTGTGTTTTTCAGAGTGAGAGTTTTTGAGAATGTGTGTGTGTGTGTGTGTGTTTGAGAATGTGTGTGTGTGTGTGTTTGAGAATGTGTGTTTGTGTGTGTGTGTGTGTTTGAGAATGTGTTTTGTGTGTGTGTGTTTGAGAATGTGTGTGTGTTTGAGAATGTGTGTTCGTATATGTATGTGTTTTTGAGAATGTTAGTTTGTGTGTGTTTTTTTTTCAGAGCGAGTTCGTGTATACGTGTGTGTTTATGAGTGAGTTTGTGTGCGTGTGTGTTTGAGAGTGAGTGTTTGTGTGTCTGTTTTTTAGAGTGACTGTTTGCGTGTGTCTGTGTTTTTGAGAGAGTGAGTTCGTGTGCGCGCGTTTGAGAAAGTAATTTTAAATTTACTTGAATTCTTAATTTTAATTGAATATAATTTAATTATGGTAATTTGAAGATAATATATAAAATGCGATTAACAGTGAGATATATTTATATAAGAGAAAGCATGTTTATTTGTTCGCTATACACAATGAAGCCCTTGTAAAAATTCGTAATGGAAAAGGAATATTTCTGTCAAAACTTTTTAACTAGCATTAGTCGAGCCGGTTGGCTGAATTAACGCTGATATAGAATGACGTGAAAATACAAGAGAAATTCATCAAACGCGCAATGCAACATTTATATCCAAATATGAGAGAAAATTTTAGTAGCCGACATTAAAAGCTAAGTTGCTTATGTTGCTAAGTAAGTTAAGGATCGCTGTGTGCTGTTAAAAGTGGAGTACTTAGAAAAGAACTAAAGTACAATTGCCCTAAGAAGCCATTTTTATTTCGTTAGTATTAAATAGTTGCATATTTTAATTGTGAAATATTGTGTGTGTGTGTAAGAGAGTGAGCAGTGTGTTTCTATGTAATAGTTTAGTAATGATCAACACAGAAAACAGAATCCGCTTGCTTAACATTAATATTTTTGGGAAAGGCATGAATGCACTTTTCTCTGCG